CTGGGCTGATGGCTCAGAGCCTGACGCGGGGCTCGAACTCACAGACCGCGAGATCGTGACCTGGCTGAAGTCAGACGCTTAACCGACTGTGCCACCCAGGCACCCCAAAAGTTATTAATTTTAATAAAGTCTAGTGTATTAATCTTTATTTAGAACCAATGTTTTTGTGTCTTATTCAAAAAACCATTCCCTACATGCAGGCCTAACAGATGTTCCTATTTTCTACTAGCAGTGTATTCTAGTTTAAAATATGTCCACACATTATTCGATATTCTGCCCTTTAAGAGACTCTCCTCCCTTGTACTGTGGGCTGGACTTAATGACTTGGTTCTCAAGAACAGAGTATCATGGAGGTGACAGTGTGTGACTTCCTAGATTACACACTAAAACCATTGCAGCTTCCTCTTTCCTCTCAGGAGGAAGCCAGCTGTCATGCTGGGAAGGATACATAAGCAGTCCTGTGGAGAGGTCTGTGTAAGGAGGAACTGAAACCTCCTGCCAACAAGCAGCAACATTTGTCCAATGTGTGAGTAAGCTACCTTGAAAATAGATCCTCCAGTCTAGCCTTCTAATGACTCTAACTTGGCCAACATCTTAAAAAAGTTTTTTTGGTAAATATTTGTTTATTTTGCAGAGAAAGAGAGCACAAGCTAGGGAGGGGCAGAGAGAGAGAGAGAGAGAGAGAGAGAGAGAGAGAGAGAGAGAGAGAAAGAAAGAATATGAAACAGGCTCCAGGCTCTGATTCAGATGCTCAGCCACTGAGCCACCCAGGTGCCCCTGGCCAACATCTTAACTGCAACCTAATAACAGATGGTGAGCTAGAACCACCCAGCTAAGTGGCTCACAGATTCCTAATCCACAGACATTGTGAGATGATAAATGTTTGTTGTTTGAAGACACTAAGTTTTGGGATGATTTGTTATGTGGCAGTAGATAATTAATGTCAATTTTTAAAGATTTTTTTTCTTTTTGGACATTTAGTCCTTAACATATCTGGCCTTGCTTTTTAAATATAGAGTGTGTGTGTGTGTGTGTGTGTGTGTGTGTGTGTGTGTGTGTGTGTATTTAAATGTGATCCAATCTCATTATTTCTCATCTGAATAATCATTTTTTACCCTACTTTCTTTTCTTTTCTTTTCTTTTCTTTTCTTTTCTTTTCTTTTCTTTTCTTTTCTTTTCATGTTTGAGAGGGAGAGAGAGAGAGAGAGAGAGAGAGACAACGTGAGTGGGGGAGGGGCAGAGAGAGACAAGAGTGAGAATCCCAGGCAGGCTCCATGCTGTCAGCACAGACCCCGCTATGGGGCTCAAACTCATATCATGACCTGAGCCAAGATCAAGAGTCACACGCTTAACTGACTGAGCCACCCAGGCACCCCTCCCCTACCTTTACTGAACAATTCTTCTTTTCCTCTGTGACAAACAATCACTGTCACATATCAGAGTTCCATATATGCCCTGTTTCTATTTCATTGGTTGATTTTATTCCTGTGACAATATTACACTATTGTAATTAATGTAGCTTCAAAGTAAGTCCTCATAACTGGAAGGGCACGTTCCCCACTCTTTGCTCTCCTTTAAAATTGTCCAGGTTATTTTTGAGTTATTTACTCTTCTATATCCAGTGTATTTTTAGAATAATTTTATTAAATTTAATGAAAAATCTTTTGGGCAGTTTGGTGGGAATTGAAATGAGCTTATCATTTGAAGAGAATTGATGTATTTATGATTATCTCACTATATTTCTCTTCTTTCATTCATGTTACTTTTAATGTTTCCTAATGAATTTCTGTAAATTCCCCTTATAGTGGTCTTGATTTTTTCTTAAACTGATGAATTATTTTGACCTTGTGGTTTTACTATGATTTGCACAAGCAAATTTCTACTTTTTCCTTTCCTGTATAACCCTTACCCAGTTGTGCTAGGTTGCTGCTTGAGGCAGCACCAATTCACTACCTACCTCCATCCACCAGTCAAAAACAGCCCGTTCCTCATCAATAATTGGTCTTGGTGATAGGAGTTAGGATCCATTATAGTATAACATCTTGGTCAGAATTAGAATCAGAAAACGTTTACAAATCTCTTCCTAGTATTCTCCTTGAAGCTGAATACAGTATTCATAAGAAAGTTCTGGGATGTTATTCCCAGAGAAAATCCTAGGCATAATCTACCTTTATTATCTCTTGAGTCAGTGCCCAATATACCAGTGCCCCATAGGATATTGGAGCAGAGCAAGAGAAAGACCCTTCTAGTTTGATATGATGAGCTAGATTTTTAGGATATTGTCAGATTCTCTTCAGGATACCAACCCTCTTTTATTTTTATTTTTTTTTAATTTTTTTTTTTTCAACGTTTATTTATTTTTGGGACAGAGAGAGACAGAGCATGAACGGGGGAGGGGCAGAGAGAGAGGGAGACACAGAATCGGAAACAGGCTCCAGGCTCTGAGCCATCAGCCCAGAGCCCGATGCGGGGCTCGAACTCACGGACCGTGAGATCGTGACCTGGCTGAAGTCGGACGCTTAACCGACTGCGCCACCCAGGCACCCCCAACCCTCTTTTAAAGCAGATACTTCTTACCCTGGGAGCCCATGCGGGTAATTTCACGCTAAACACTGGTGTCAAATTATAGGCGAAGGCAGCCTTGGAGTTCTAGGGAAATTCTGCTAGCTTTCAGGGAGTATTGTATTTAGGGATATCTGAATATGTAATAATGAAGGGGTATCCCCCTTGAGCAAATTTTCCAGACAATTGAAGCTGACCTTTAAGCATCAATAGTTTTACGTTAACCATTTTGATGGAACTCTGTCTAAATCATATTTCATGCCACTTTGAATATATGTTTCTCTTTGCCTTCTTAAATAAATTATATTGAACATAATCTGACCTTTTCTTACAAATGCAGGGGCTTCATGAGTGCCAATTTTACTTTGCTATCACAGTGATTCCCTCAGGACTAATATCCGCTCAGTTGTTTGAATCTTGAGCTCTTACTCAGTTTAACAAGTATTTTTGAGGAATTATGTTCTGGGTACTGTTGAGTGTGATCTCTCTTTCATAATCATTTCTCTCATTTGCTGTTAAGTAGGGGTATACATGGATTTAAAATTCTCTAGTATTTCTAATGTAACATGTTGACCTTGTATTAAGTTTATGGGGGACACATCTCACACAATAGTGTGAAAATCCAATCATCTTATGAATCATAAAAAGGATCCCCATTTCCAATCTTGATGTTATTGGGGAGCCAGATCCATCAAGCTAATTCAAATCATTAAAGGGAAAAAGGAATAAGCATGAGATTTGCCACACCTATCTTAGGTAATAAAGTTCTTATTTCTGATTACTACTAGCCTATTAGCTTCTGAAACTGGAAAATTGAGATTAGGGATTGCCTCGGGATGAGGAAGTCATACGTTAGAAGTGAGAAACTTGGTCATCGATGACACTAGTTTGTTGACTTCACTCTGGGGGTATGTGTGTGGGTATGTCTACAAGGGTTTCCTTGTCTAGACTTTGTTTTCTGCCAGGATGGCTAAGTGGAACTCCCCATTTTCCAGGAAGTTTACTCAAAAGTGTATCCTTACCTTTTACAGAACCAAGTTCCCTTGTTTTGGAGAGAATCATCCTGGGAGAAGGAAAGACATTAATAAATAAGCAATTTCTGGAATCTACCATTCACTGTCAAATAACATTCAATGAGCCATTAGTTAATGTTATATTTAGATAATGTCTTGCAATTTTTTATATGCATAAACATGGAATTTTCAGAGACAAGCGTATATATTTGCTTGTATATATGTGTAATTTTGTATTACTTTTTAATATATTGATAGAAATGAATGAAAGCCTGAAAAGGCAAGGTAGGTTGCCCTTTTTTGTATGTAAGGTCATACAGCTAATAAGTGGCAGGGCCAGACTTGGAACCTGGGTCCTTTGAATCCACATTACACCCTTACCTCCTGCTTAACCAGTAACCCTTAAAGAAGTTTACAGGCTATGAAAACCACACAAATGTATTCTAAGAGAAGTTTTAAGAGTTCTAAAAATATAAAGATGAGGATATTTCCTGGATTTCTGTGGCATCTCTCTTCCAAAATATTTTCTCAGCTATTTCATTTTCCTTTTAGCTTGCTTGTGAGATAAAAATGAAGAAGTACAATCACATTTTAAAATTGTGAAAATGATGCTCACAGAATTGGAATTAGAAAGAAACTTTCTGGGTTAGGAATTTTGTTCCCTAGTTTGAGTGAGATTAAGCAGCATGCCAGCTGGTCATTTGCTCAGGCAGGCTGTAAAGGTTGTTCAGACATCATTGGTCATTGAACCATCATGGGACTCTGGTAATCTTGAGGAAGATGTTTTCTCTGATAGGTGGTGAGAAGGAATACTTTGATTAGTCAGTGAGAATAGATGATGGGATATATCAGGGAGCGTGCCAAGCTTGGTTCTAGAGAGGTGGAGTCCACTTAATTTCAGGAGTTTTGTTTTTGCTATTGGTTGTTATATAATATGCAAGCTTGGGGCCAAAATAACTTGTTCAGAATAATGGTAACCATGGTCACTGTGAACATGGTCTAATATATAACCAAACATCTGGATGACCCCAACGACAATAGATGATTGTTGATATTTGCTTTTTAGGAATAAAATACTTATTTTTTTTGAAATTATGAAGACTATGTATCTAAATGATAAAGTTTCTGGTGAATGTCAATTTTGGCTCTAAAGCCAATATAAGTTGCAAAATTAAAGTCTAATGGAAGTTTATCTTTTTGCCACCACAAGACACGAAGCAGGCCAAGAGGATGCTCTAAATCCAATTGTGTCCTTTAGACCATTGCATATATGCTAATGACATCATGATGTTAAATATGAACAGACACTGAAGCTGTTACATAAAGAAGTAATGACTTCTCATGTTTTAACTCATGGGCTAATTCTGATAAATGCCCTGGTGCTCTGTGTAGTGAGAAATTTGGGATCCTGTTGGGATCACCAGGAAAGACCATTGTGATTATGGGAGATGGGAGGAGTGTCCTGTCTTGGCCTCTTCTCCACAAGAGTGTTCCTTCAGTTAATATTTCTTCCTGCTTCCATTCTAAACTCTGTGAGGTTTGAGGCTAGTTTCTTTGAGAACAAGTCATTTGCATGGCTCTGAGAGAAGAGAGACCATTGTCCCATAACATCTTTGTATGTTTAGGGTTGGAATGCTTTAGAATTATGTGTGCTACTATTCTTAGAAAATGCACATGAGAAGATTGGTATGTGTCTGGTGGCTTATAGTGTTTTGGAAACTCCCTTGAAGGTAATGACCCTGAGAAAAGCTGAAAGTGGACTGAAATGGTTACCTTATTATTTTGGCTGTTAAACTTTTTTCTTGCAGAATTCATGCTCAAGACTTTTGATCTAGGAGAGAAAGAACCAAGGTGGGAATTGAATAAAGTACATTTAAATGTTCATATTACATCATGGTTATTTAAAAAAGTTTTATATTCTAAAGCTATACTGTCCACTATTGTAGCCAATGGCTACATGTAGCTGTTTACATTTAATGAAAATAAAAAAATCACTTCCTCCGTCACAACAGCCATCTTTCAAGTACTCAATAGGTGCATAGTGGCTACATACTAGATAGTACAAAAAATTCCATTGGGTAGTCCTGTTCTAAAATCTTGGCTTAGTAATGAAGCCATACTTAATGTTCAGAAAGGATCTCAGGAGACTTGAAGGTGTCCATTAGGGGTAAGGACCTCTAAGTCCTGGTGCCCTGGCCCCCAGGCCACAATGTGGACTAGCCTATTTAGAGGCTGTATGAAGTCTAGGTCTTTTTCTCTTAATCCCAAGACTCCAAAATATTTAATACATGGAAATACTTCCCACGTGAATTAAGATTTAAATTTTAAAGAGGGTCAGGGAGTGGAAGTGAGGTTTTTGGTTTTAGTTTCTCACTATTTAGACTCTTGATATACTCAAGGAGTATTTTTTTTTTTTTTTGCGGGGAGGGGAGGCTTTTCTCTTACTCTAATTTCTAATTTTAATGTTCATAGTTTAATATAGTATACAGTTTACGTTTCATAATATGATTGACCTAGTTTGTGTCTGGAGATTAGTTTCATGCCTATCCCATATGGTTGAATTTCCATACATTTTGGGGAAGTGAGGATGGTATTAATTTTAAGACCTTTATTATAAAATTTAAGGAATGCCCATTTTATCAGGGTGCCAGACCACTAACCCTTTTTATTTATTTTACTGTACTTGATTTATTTAATTAAAAAAATTTTTAACGTTTATTTTTGAGAGAGCGAGCGAGTGCACAACTGGGGGAGGGGCAGGGAGAGAGACACAGAATCAGAATCGGGCTCCAGGCTCTGAGTTGTCAACACAGAGTACCATGCAGGGCTTGAACTCACAGACCAGAGATCATGACCTGAGCCCAAGTTAGATGCTCAACAGACTGAGCCACCCGGGCACCTGACCGTTTTTAAAGCACATGTTCTTGCCCTTAATATAAACCTGAATAATTGACAATGTGATTACAATTATGAAGGAAGGTATGTTTCTGCAGTCTATTAAGAAAGATAGGAGAAGGACCTGCATTTTTAAATAGATGTGGTTGAGTGGGGGGTCAACAAGATCGCTAACAGAGAGGAAAGTTATGTGGTGTTGGGGCTCACTGAATTCCAAATAGGAATTGGTCAGAGAAATGTTTGCTCTGACTCTGGCTGAGATGGGGTTACCACTAAAACCAGGATGTTCCTTTGTTTGCCAAAGCTCACACTTCTCTCTCAAGGAACCGAGTCTCTAGTTCTTCTTCCATTTTCCTCAGAGTTTCCTGGTACTTCTTCAAAGAGAAATAAAAGAAACCACAGTTACTTGCTAGAAGCCTTATGTGCTTTTTGCTGTTAATAACTATGTATTACAGCATTGTCATGTGAATGTTTGGTATTCCCACTGCCATTTTGTCTCCTTTCCCAGTCCACAAGCCCCCTACTACTCCAGATCTCTTACTGTACTTCACCACTGGGCAGGTCCCTGTGGTTATTGGGATTATAAACAGGAAAAGTGCTCATTATTAACTTAAGAGTTCAGAGCTTTGGAGATGAGGGCAGGAATAGAATGATTCTAGTGGTAGAGTGTCATCCTCCCTAAAGGCCTTTGTAATGCCACCTTGAAGCATTAAAATTGTTGCAGTGTTCTTTGAAAAGCCTGGTTTCACTTCATCCTGTACCTTAACAAACACATTACTCTCCCTTTACAGAGAAACTGTACCTTTATGCAGAGGGCCTGATCTTCACAGAGCTGTGCCACAAATGTATAGTCTTCCATTACCTGGGAAGTCAAAATTCAGTCTTAAATTTTACTCAGTAAGTTGCTATAAGAATAGTAGTATACTTGTTTCCTCTTGGGCCCCAGGCCTTAAATGTGCTTTTCTAATTGTTCTAAATATGTATTTGCTGTATGTATGAAACCATGCCTTTTTTTTTTTTTTTTTTTTGTGGATGAACAGGCTGTACTTTACAGTCCCGATGGAAATTACTTGGGGACAGTTGGGAGAAAAATAGATACTAATTCATAGAAGGTATAGATTATGGAGAATATTCTGTAAAAAATGTGAAAAGAGAAGGTAATCTGGGGGACTGTATTGACATGATGTAATACATTCCTTCAAATCTTGTGACCAAAGATCAAGTTTTCCTTACTGTGGGAGAAGGAACATTGAAGTTATTGTCGTTTACCTTGGTCAGCTTTTGCTCTTGGTCTGCACAGGAAGCTTCCAGCTGTTTTATCTTAGCCTATAGAAAGGGAAAGAGACTGGTAACTCAGCCAGGTAAAAGCAGGATTCCATTCTGAAATGGGATCACAAACATTATCTCACAGGTGGTTAAAGTGCGTCAGGACCAATTTTAGATGTCTTTTTAATGGAGGGGAGTCAACCTTGAGATGAGAGGACACTTGAATTGAATCTAGTGTGAAGTAGCACTAATTTGGTGTGTATGAAGATGTTACGTGGCTGGAGCTTAGGGGCGATTGGTAAGAATGAAATGAGGTGGGGAAAGGTAGACATGTAAGAGATTACAATAGACCCTTATAGCTTCTGGAGAATTTGGTTCTTTATTCAAATTGCAGTGAGAAGCCAGGTGAGAGCTTAAAGTTGTAAAGATACAATCTGGTTTGTCTTCTTTCTTGTTTAAATTTATTTAAAATATTTTTAATGTTTGTTTACTTTTGAGAGAGAGAGAGAGCGCGAGAGTGAGTGAAAGAGAGCACGGGAAGGGGTAGAAAGAGAGGGAGACACAGAACCCGAAGCAGGCTCTAGGCTCTGAGCTGTCAGCACAGAGCCAAATGCGGGGCCCAAACTCATGACTGAGATCATGACCTGAGCTGAAGTCGGACGCTTAACTGACTGAGCCACCCAAGTGCCCCTGGCTTGTTTTCTTTCTAAAGAATAATCTTTTCTGTGTGTGGAAGGTAGACTGTTTAGGTCTAAGTATAAAGGCAGGAGGACTAACTAGTTAGGAGGCTACTTTAGCATCCAGGTGAGGGGTTATGGTGGCTTGCAAAAGGGTAGTGTAATAGTAGTAGAGAGGAAAAGATGCATTTGGGGTATATTCTGTAGGCAGAGGGGACATACTGCAGGCTTTCCTCTCTTCCCTTTTCAGCTCTATTGTTCCCACTTTCATTGAGCTACCATTTTTTTTTTTTTCCCCACATTTGGACTCTTCTAACAGTTCCTTTCCCCACCAGTCAATTACATCTAGGGCCAGACAGCCAAAGGTGCTATGGGCTGTATTTTAAAGACAGTGGCCTGAGTCACAAGGAGTTGAGGCGGGTGTCCTATTAAACTGCTCAACTGATCACCAGCATGCAAGAGGAACAGAAGCAAAAGAGATAATGTATATTTCATAGAGTCAGAGATACAACGTGAGAATTCTTCAAAATAGGTGGACAAAAGGGAATGATTCAAAGCGTTAATAATACTCTTTAGGGCTGGGCTGATGGCTGCCAGGAAAATAATGGCCATTGTTGTGCCAGGAACTCTCTGTCTGGAGTCTGTCACAATCAGCTCACCTGACGTGGCCAGCATAGCCAGACTTAAAGTGTCACTGCTAGATTCGGGCAGACTTGCTGTTAGCAAAACTTGTTTTGGGCAGAAGAAGGAAGAAAATCAGTCTTCTAATCTCTGCAGTTTTATGGCTAGGATAATCAAGGAGCTTTAAGCTCCTTTCTAGTCTTAGCTCAAGTTTATTCCCCATGTACACACAGGCTCCTGATTTCTCTCTTTCCAGATAAGTGTCCTGGATAGGCATGCCCAAACAACTTACTTGAAGGCTTTGACTTCCTTTTTTTTATGTCTATCAATGCTAATTTGGCCACCAGAACATAGAGCAGTAATTCTCTATTCTTTCATTTTCGATTTCTATATTAAATGTGTCTATATCTTCAGAGTCTTCATACACACAGTATGGGCTTAAGTATGGGCTTAAATGTGGGGCTTAAGAAGCAAAAGAGATTGAAAGATAGGGACAGTGTGTTTTTCTGCTCTTTAATTTACTTGTTCTTAAATGACATATATAAAAGTAAGTATCAATTAAAAAAAGCAAGATGGGGCCTGGGTGGTTCAGTCAAAAGAGCACGTGGCTCTTGATCTCAGGGTCATGAGTTGGAGCCCCACACTGGGTGCAGAGATTTCTAAAAAAAATAGAAAAAATAAAAAAAAAACCTTAAACATCATAAAAAGAAGCAAAGAAAAATTAGATAAGGCAAGGACAAAGACATATTCCTACAGAAATTATCAATAAGAATTGAATCTGCCTTCTGAAAAAAAAGATCTCTAAATCTTGCATCTTTGATCAGATGGGTTATGGTTGTGCTCAGGTGCTTAACTGTGAAACACAATTAGGGAAATGGTAAGCCCTGTATGATGCACTTAGCAGTTAGAGGTCACTATATACTTGAATGACCAGTTGAATGAATCCTTTGCTGGATTGGAGTCAATGACAGGGTGTGTAAATTACCTAGCACACAGTAGATTTACAAGTCCAAACTCTGCCTCTATATGAATTTATGCATATGCTTCTGCCATACTTTTAAATAATCACCTTAAAATTGTGACTTTTTAATGTTTTAGAACTCCAAAAAAAGAATATTTTATATACACAATTTCATTCAGTTTTCAAACTGAGGCTGGGAGGAACTGATTAAATTGCTCAACTTCATATATCACACTAAGTACCTCTGGGTCTGGGATTTAAATGAGGGACTTCAACTACCTCCAATGTTATGTATGTATTTGTGCATTTGTGCCCTCTTTTTGATGGAAAGAGAACAAAATATATGGCTTCAGAGTGAAAGCCCTTACTAAGGGCAGAGGAGAATTCAGCATTTAGTAGCCCAGGTTTAATCTGGCATGGCTGAAACTACAAAGAATTTATCCCAACTTTGACAATTGTTTCCACTTAAAGACTTGTTTTCCTGGTCACGCAAACCAAACCCATTCGAGGTTGCTTTTTTGTTTACCTTTGACTCTTCTGGGGTTCCTTTTAGATCTTCTTGTTCACACTTGGTTGCCTTGTGTGATTTCCTTGTAAGCTGTGGTTTCAAACAGAAAAAATACGTTTCAAATAAAAAGTATATCAAATAAAAAAAATATAGCAGACAAAGACATTCTCTGATGCGTGGGAGACAGTAACTTGGCCCAGATCAAAGCTGCCAGGAAAAGGTCCCTTGATGGATACTTGGTGTCTTTGGGAACATCTTTAATCTACCTCCATTTATTCTCACTAGTTTTGGCCACCAAAGCTGCTCAAAGTAGGAGTACTTCCCTGAACCCCTAATCCATGCCAGATTATTCAGGCCTGTGGGCATGGGTCAGAAAGTAGGGGAATCATAAAGAAATCCACTGTATTTTGACCAGTTGAGGTAGAGGGAATACCTGGACAAAGAAGAAGGAATTTTTAGGAATTAAGTGTTTTTAAAAGTCTCTATTGAAAGCAAAATTAACCTCTCACCACAGAGGTCCCAGTCAATCCCTTTAGAAGCAATTTCCTTGTGATAGAATGAAGAACCTATGGGATCACTGAATACCTGGGATGCCCTATCCACTCTTTTCAATTTGACACTTGCAGGGATAATCCATGGCACTTTGGCCATGAGACTCAGCCTCAGGAGAGTGGATTAGTAGTAGTGCCCATGCCCAGCACAGGCTTCTCTGACATGTGGGATCTTCTGTGATTATTTGCCCTCCCTTGCCTCTTTGATGAGTGGTGCTGCTGTGGGGACACCAGGGAACACAAAAGCCCCATGTCACCTTTCTTTGAAGTTCTTCTATACTGTGGACCAGAGTCTCATTCTTCCTATCCTGTTGAGAGGACGAAGCAGAGTTTAAATGTGCATCTGTGTACCACCATCTTGATTTGGTTGACTGTTCTTTTTTTTACCCCAGTGATATTTTACTACAGTAACTGTACCTTCCTGCATAATGTCAGGTAAAGGACCTGTGGTTTGATCTCCATACGTACACACCAACTTCCCAGGGATTGAGATGACCACATCTCCGGCTTCCCAATATTAAATATTACCGGAGACACCCTACCCTCCACACATCCCCTTCCATGCAAGGACATACTCTGCTATGACTTTTGAGTTGACTATACTTTGTATGTAAAAAGGGGAAACTGTTGTTTCTGACAGTGAGGAGGAATCAACCCTATCAATTGGCTTTTCCCTGCTTTTTTAAACATTTTTTTAAAGTTTATTGATTTATTTTGAGAGAGAGAGAGAGAGAGCCAGCAGGAGAGGGGCAGAGGGGGGGGGGGGGGGGAGGAGAGAGAGAGACCCCGAAGCAGGCTCCATACTGTCAGCGCAGACCCTGACTCAGGGCTTGAACTCATGAACCGTGAGATCGTGACCTGAACTGAAGTCAAGATTCAGACAGTTAACCAAATGAGCCACCCAGGAACACCAAGCTCTTCCCTAATTCTTGCTTACAAGTCTGGCTGTCTCTTCTTCCAGCTCCTGCAAGGCTTTTTCCCTCTCTATCATGGTGTGGTTCTCCTTTTCCCATTCTTCATCTTCAGCCAAGTCTCTGGTGTGAGCAATCTCACCTTCCATCCTGGACGATGCAAGCACACACTATGAGGAACTGACAGCCTTAGAAATAATAAAACACATGTCAGTTTTAAGGGTACTTTGATGACAATAAATATAAATCTAAAGTTGGAAACCCTTTCTTTCCTGGATCCTTAGGATCAGAATGTCTTTAAAGACAAGAAAAGTAAGATTCCCCCGATTACCACATCAAACACCCCAATGTACTTCCAGCTCAGGTGAGTATCTTTCATTCTTTTAGGATTTTCTTTGTTGTTGTTGTTGTTTTAATGTCTATTTATTTTGAGAGAGAGAGAGAAGGAAATTAAGTGCGTTGAGGGACAGAGACAGAGGGAGAGAGAGAATCCCAAGCAGACTCCATGCTGTCGGAACAGACCCTGATGAGGAGCTTGATCCCATGGTCATGACCACGAGATCATGACCTGAGCCGAAATCAATATTTGGATGCTTAATTGACTGAGCCACCCAGGTGTCCTTAGGATTCTCTTTGAAACTTGCTGTATTATTCAGGGGTTTGAACCACAGACAAATACTGAAGAATGAAAAAGAAAGTTGTTATAAAAAGATAAAGGCTCTAGAGCAACCTGGAAAATTCAATTGTTTCTTCTCTTCCAAGTTCTTTGGATTAGGAACGTCCCACATGAAACCCCAATACTCACCTCTGAATCTCATTTTCTTTCCCTTGGATTTTGAGAAGAAGTTCCTGATTTGCTTCATCTATTCTCTGCATATCCCTTTCAAGGTCCATGTTCAAACTGTTAATGTTCCTCTTTGACTGGACCAGTCTTAAGATTTCCACTTTCTCTGACCTGTAGGCTCAGCCCCCAAAATGAATAAGGGCCAGTTATCTTAAGATCACTAATTTTTTGGGGCCAAAAAGGATATCTAGAAGACATATAACTCATTAGCCTGGCTATTTTTGGGAGCACACCTTTCCTTTTTCATTTTTAGGAAATTACATTTCTTAATCATGCTGTACAATTTGTTTCAATAATTCTTAACTCAGCAAAGGAGGTCTTTCTTGGCCAGAGTGCTCAGTATAATAGTGCACCTCCACTCTGGTTCCAGGAGAAGTTTTGCTTCCTTAAATAGCCTTTTGCATTGGAGAGAATGATTTTCAAATTGTTCACAAAAGCTGCTCATGCAGTACACTTTTATCAAGTACATTTAGTCAGGAAGCTGGTACATAATTTATGATTGGACACAGGTTTATGCAGAACCACAAGAAGTTTCCACCAGCAGTTAGGGCTTCAGTCTTTTCCTACCTCCCCTCAACTGAAAATTTCTCTGCTATTGTCTACTAGAAAGCTTGAGAATATCCTATGGGAGTCACTCCATTGAGCACACACAGAAGTAATTCAGGTTTTCACTTTCAAGAATGCAGGTATCATTTTTGAAGTAAATTTGAATGAAATAATGGTAACTTAATGCTAGTGTAGTCTAGAAATGTATCTGGCACATGGGAAGCTCTCAAACTTTTCGTTTTCTTGAAAATGAATTAATTCATTGAATTAATTGGTTTGTCTCTAAAATGACTAACTGGAAATAAGATAGTGAGGTAGAGGGGCATATGTATTGAGTAGGCACAAGGGACGGTTTTGGAAAAGAAATTCCTACCTTGAAGGGCTGGCTTGGATGGGGGCTTTGCAATGGCTGTCACTTCAGGAGGCCAAGGGGTGTTTGGGGCAGAGTACAGTGGAGGACAGATGGATAGGAGCTGAAGGAGAGAGCAAGACTAGAAGATGAAAGGAGGAATCAGTAGCAGACCTGCTTCATACCTTGGTCCTTGGATATGACTTTGCATAATCAGGACTACTTACTCATAGTCTAGCTGATTGTCCTTGTGTTCTTCCATTGTAGATTCCCTAAAATACCAGCAGAGATGTATGTAATGAATTGGGGAAATGGGTCCATTTATAAAATACAGTAACTAGCCGAGAGTCCCAAAAGACAGGAACAAAATTAAGTTAACTGGTTTTTTTCCCTCCCACTCCTATAATTTGGCCATAACGAAACTTAGCTTTCTGATTCTTCTGCCCATGAATATGCTTATGCCTCAGTAAGGATACAGTGAGGATAGAGGGATAATGCTGGAAAATTCAATATACATCCTGCAGAAGATAGATGGTTCACCAACACAAAACCCTTTGGAAATGTATACGTGGCAGTAAGCATCAATAGACGTTATCAGTTGTTCTTAATATCTTTTTTTCTCTATGCCCAGGTGCTTCTCTTAAGCCCCATGTGCATAGATAAATGTGCATAACTGCCCTGGAAAATAATCTTTCTAGTCTGGCTTCTGCAAGAATCTCCAGATATTAAGATCTTTAGTATTACATAGGACTCAGAAAAAACAAGCAGGAGTAAATAATTTGGCTTGTTCTGCTACTTAGTTTTCTCCTTTTCTCCAATAAAGTCTACCTCCCTTCTGATGTATGGTCTTCTGGATTCTGCTCTAGTCTATTAGCTTCTGAAGAGTCTAATCTTTCCCCACTGGAACCATCCAATAGAATCTCAGAACCTTCTATAGGGTCATAATTCTGCTCTTGACATAGGATGGGTGGGGCAGTATGTTATAATAGGATGGATGGCAATGGTTTCTCCTCATTTGTGCCAAGTTCAGAGCCTAGTCTTCTCTTTGGTGGCAGTAGTTTCAATGGATTTGATTTCTAGGCAGATTGAAGGGATAGCTTCTGTCTCATTTCTCTAGCAGATTGAGCACTTTCCTTGCCCAAGCTTGACTCATATGGGAACTCTGGGTCCTAACACCAGCAGCCTAATCCCATAATGTAGTCAACTAACTACTCATTCATTCAACAAACAGTGAAACTTGGAAGGAGCACCTATTTTTGCCAGGCACTGTTCTAAGTACGAGGGAGACAGAATGGGAACGAAATAGCCCAAAGCACTTGCCTTTATGGAGTTTACACTCTAGGGTGTGTGTTGGGGGGTGGAAAGGGGTAACACAATCAACAGAAAACAGGAGTAAATTGATCTTATCTGGTATGTATATTTTGGCCAGATTAGGCACAATTTGTAACTTTTTATGTGTGCAAGTCACGGAAACCTGAAGTTTCAGATCTTGACTTAATAAGGACTGCATTGAGTTGATTTGTGGGCCAGAGTGACTTCTTAACATACTGTAGTTTCTAACAAACTATTTGTAAAATTAATGGCCTCTGATGACCCCCATTACCATCTCCCTTCTTCCTGAAAGAAGGCATTTCATTGCTTTATGAAGCTGTACACAGAAGAGTAATTAAGTAACAATTCAGGCCAATGGCCTCTCGGAGGAATTAATGGTAGGGAGAGTTCATTAACCCCAGCTGGTTATAGCTTCTTCAGGAAATGCCCTGGACCAAGGTTATCTTGGCGATTAATGTATTGGATAGAGACTTTAACTAGGATAAAAATAAAGCTCTATCTCCTTCCTGGGGAGCTTTTCTCCTTGAGGGGCTACCAAAGGCAAGCCCGTAGGGGCAGCAGAACCCCAAGCTTGGGGCCTTGTGTGGGAGGAAGACAACAGATAGCCACTAGTAAGAATTGCTAAATCAAGGTAAAAACAGGGCCTTGGGGGCAGGTTAAGGTCCTTGAGGAAGCCTTCCTGCTATTTGGGAGGTGGCTTTTGATTAACACCCATTGCAGCTTTAGGGCAGCTGTTAACACCGCCTTAACTTTTCCAGGCCACACCCTGACCTGCACAGAGTCGCTGCCAGAGAGTCGCCGATTTTGCTGCATTGCTGCCAGGGATGCAGTGGCGTTTATGTGGAAATCTGTTGTGAAAACATCCTCTTTTGACAGGCTGGGCACTTGGGCTCTTTTTGCTGGGGCTTCACCCTCCTACTCTGAGGGGTCTGGTCAGGTGCATAAGCCTGAGAAACTGCCTGGGCCCTTGTTCTTTCTGCCCCTTCCCGGGGAGAGAGACCTATTTCTTTTGCTCATCTCACTTGTCCTCACTTTACTTTGGCAAAATCTTCTTGGATATTTTTATAAATGAGCCTGGTTTTGAGGCTCATAGCCAGGCAAGGCTCTAGAACCTCATTTTAGATCAGTTTTCAAATACAGAATCAAGTACACTATTTTCCTTATGTCCTTACTTATTTTTAGTGACTATTTCTGTACAGTCTTTAGGCTCATGAAATCTCTTTCAGTTTCCTTTCAGAATCCTTCTCAGAATAGCTTTCTCAAAAGCAGAAACTTGAACTAAACTGAAATGTGAAGCAAAAGAGAGAAAGAGAGCGTACCAGTACTTAATATTGTCATTATTTAATATCCAGTAAACTGCGGTAGTTTAAATTGGCAAAAGGTTATGTATTTTCTTTTAAAACTAAATCTATTTATTTTTGCCTGTTAAACCCTTTTTTATAGTTTTCATAGAATAGATATACTGTGGTACTTTCCTTTTTCACTTAATAATTTTTATGAACATTTCCCAGGTTGCTATATGCTGTCTGTAATTATAATTTCAAACACTACATAAAATTGTGCTGAGTTGATAACATTCATAATCTGCTTCATCCTAACCTTCTTACCACACTGTTTACCCTTTTGCATACCTATCTCCTCTTGAGGGCCTGGAGAGTACCTATATGAATTTTCTAGAGCTGCCATGACAAAGTACCATAGGCAGGGAGGCTTTAACAACAGAAGTGTATTTTCTCACAGGTCTGGACGCTGCGAGTCCTGATCAAGGTGCCGGAAGGGCTGTTTATCCTAAGGCCTCTTTCCTGGGCTTGTAGATGGCTGTGTCTGTTCTGTGTCCTCAACACGGGCATCTCTGTGTGTGTGTGTCTGTGTTGTAGTGTCATCTTATGAGGATGTCAGTCATGTAAGATTAGGACCCACCTTAATGACCTCATTTAAAATTAGTTACTGTTTTGAAGGCCCTATCTCCAGATAAAGTCACATTCTGAGGTACGAGGTATTTAGACTTCAATGTATGATTTTGGGGGAACGCAAGTCACTCTACATCAGGTATTCAGCAAGTGCTTAACTGTGACCAAATTTATGAACATTCAGGTTGTTCTCTCTTTGCCTAAATAACAGCACTTCAGAGAATATATTTGTAGAGTCATTATATTTTTTCAGGTATAACCAGAGTATTAAAGTATATACACTCACATTTTTACCGGTTTTGAATGCCTATTCATTAATATATCTGTCAACTGCTTTTTACAGATGAGGAAAGTAAAGACAAGAGAGATTAAATGTCTTGTTGGGATTAAAACAGATTTTTAAAAAATCTGCCAAACCTGATACTGCATCTCTCAACATTTTCTGGTTCATTCTTCTGTAAGCCTAGGAAAGTGTAATAGGACAAGGGCATTTCCTCAGTTATAACACAGTGCTGGTATTGAGGAGCAGTTATTCTGAGTACTTCACATATTAGTGATATAATTTTCATTTTCAGTGAGGTCATTTCTTCTAAAGTAACCATGCTTGATCTCTGCTTTCATAACCCTTTGCTTTATTTTAAATTTGCTTCTCTAGCTTTAATTTAAAAAGTTTGCAGTTAGGAAGTGATTGTTAAATGGCAGATTACTAAAAAGGATAACTAGAACCTCTGCAAGCAGACTTTTGTAAAAATTTTACATTGAAATTTAATATAATTCTATACTCCCTTCTCAGTTCTTCTGTGTTCGTTCTGCCGTGTACTTGGAATACCTTTAAATTTGCTTGTTGGTCCCTTCTGATAATTACAGAGAGGTCTTTCATACATTGAGATTTTAGGATGTCTTTTACTTAGCAGAAGTAATACTATGCTGGAATGTTTATACAATAAATGGCTTGTGTATAGCTTATCTTTGGCTCTATAATTCATTATTCTTCCTTTACTTAGCAGACATTTTTCTGAGCATCTAAGTGGGTAACAGGATGACCCAAAGATGACTAGAGTACTCTGTTTCATAAGGCTCTGCAGTGTGATAAATGTTATAATGCAGGCAGATAAAAATTGCTTTGGAATTCAGAGGGGGAGCATCTAACTTTATGATTTAGGGAAGCTTTAAAGGAGAGGTGCCTTTTGGATTGAGTTGAGTCCTAAAGGAAGAGAGAAACATTATAGGTAATAGAAAGGTTACTCTAAGAGGAGGGAACAACAGGTTCAAAGGCACAGTATGCTCAGTATTGAAGGGTAAAAATTCACTGTAGTTTCTGCCTAAAGTAGCACATCCCAATGTGTGTTACATGAACAGTGGGTTGTGTGACTGATAGATTTAGGTGAGACACAGAGGTAGCATTTTTGAATTTAAAAATTAACTTTAAATAGTGATAATATTTAGTAAAGCTATAAGTAGTACATTAAAACTTGATTTACAGAGGCACCTGGGTGGCTCAGTTGGTTAAGTGTTCAACTCTTGATTTTAGCCCAGGTCATGGTCTTACAGTTCATGGGATTGAGCCCTACGTCAGGCTCTGTGCTGACAGCGCGGAGCCTGCTTGGGATTCTGTCTCTCCTGCTCTCCCTGCCCCTCCCCTGCTTGTGCTTTCTCTCTCTTTCTCAAAATATAAATAAATGAACTTAAAAAAAAACCCTTGATTTGGAGACATTGCTTTGAATGAGAATAAATTTATTTGAGTAAAAATAGTACGTGGTTTAAAGAAAAATAGTAAGTAGACAGTTATTCTGAGGGAAGATGAATGTCGCAAACATTGTGAAGGTAGAATGTGAGTAACTAAAGTTTGGGGATTAGTGCTCTAAAAGCACATGTGGCAAAGGACAGCTAGGTCAGCAGAGGAGCACCACGTACTTGTGCTCAGGATGTTGGGTTTCATCTTGAAGCACCCCAAGAGGCATTAGAGACTTTTAGGTAGAAGGGTGACATGGTCATCATATTTGAGAAAGATAATTCTGGGGCA